TGGCAGTCCCAATTCTGCAGGAGGAGTGAAGCAGGGAGGCAAAACTCGACGGGTCCAAATGAATTTTCCTTTAGATCCTAGTAAATTCCTGGAGCTCTCGAATGAGCAACATCTCACGATCGTTTTGAGTCAGAAAACTGGGCAGGCTCACCTCCAGGGGGCGGAGCCCAAAGAGCTTATCTGACTCAAACCAATCACGAGAGGATAAGGTCAAACCCGTCCTGGATACTCCTCCCCCCTCACTATGGAGAAGATGCTGTCAAAACAAATTCATTTCCTTGATGCCATGGTCTATGTAATGTGATGTTTTTCATTTTGAATATTAAATCCTGGTAAAAAATACTGCAAAACGATGACAAGATATGACAGTTTTCCTAGATTGCATACTAAGAATGTAGAGCTTCAATGTGAGAATAACTACAGAACTTTGTATAGAGCATAGTTGATAAATGTGCATTTTCAGTTTTTGAAATGATTCCTTGAAAAAAGGAAACAACAAAGGTTGTCAAGTAATTTGGTCAAATTCGTTATTATATACTTCTGTGATATTCCAATTTTTTAAATCTTTAGATTAGGAAACACAGTGTATACATCCCTTTGAATCTAAAATGAATTGAACTTTGTCCCGCTGTGCTTCTTTTGAGTTGAATAGAGAAAGAGACAAAAATTAACAAGGCATAACAAACCATGAACATATTGTAATGGGTATAACGGATCCTGTCTGTCTTTATGGCTGCCAAGAACTTATCCAACGTAGGTCCTAATCTGCTGATGGAGCAGATTGAACCTCACAGATGTGTGTCAATGTCATCATTGCATTCTTTCCATCATGCGAAGCTCCACCTTCCTATATGCTAGGCTCCACTTTACTATTACTGCATTTGCATAGTTTTCTTGCAATTAGCGAACATCAATACTATTTATCAGCAGTTCATGGCTTCTGTTAAACGTGCCTTTTGGGGGTGCAGTCTTCTCCACTTGTTGAAGCATAACATGAATACTTAAATAGCTTGGAGATATTAGCCTCTGTTTAAAGGAGCAGCTTTCGCCATAAGTTACAAGCCCGGACCTCCAAAGGTTTATTACAGGTGCTACCTGGGAAGACAACTTGTTAGAACTGAGTAGGGCAAGAGCTTTCTGCAGGATGCACCAGACATTTGGAGTCTTCCCTTTCATTTCTATACTCAAGCCTTTCTTTCCTAATAGTTTATTTTCAACTGAGAAATCATATAATGCAATATACAGGGGAACAGCTCTCATTTGTACTTTGCTGGCGCTCGCCAACAGCCTCTGAACAAGCGCGGCAACGATCGCAAGGCCCGTCAGCGACAAGGAGCCAAAAAGCCCTCACCAGCAATTTCAATTAGGCTATTTTAAAGGATTTTTCCGCTAACTAACAACTAAGACAAAAATAAGAAAATCTCTATACTAACTAAAGGAGAATCCCAGTCTATTTACCCAAGAACTGAGGAGCTCCCCAAAACGCATCTGAACTGGGCTGGACTGAGTTTTTGAACTGGCCCTCAATGAAGAGGGGAGGCGTGGCTAAGAAAATCAACTCAGTCCTTGGGCGAATAGACTGAATTTAACCCATGCTTGGACTCTCCAAGCAGCGCACAGGAGAATTTTTACTTATAATAATTAATGACTGACATACTGGAAGCAGTGAATTTTAATGATATATACCTGTAAATAAATTAATAAGGTAACAGCAGAGAAATAAATGTTATTTATGCTAATACTGTAACAAGCGTAAGACAAGCATGGCTTCTCTCGAAACATACTACAACAAACTTACTATTCCTCTAGACATAAGTGAAAATTAAAAAGATATATAACAGGAGTGTCAAACTCGATTTCATTGAGGGCCGCATCAGGTTTGTGTTTGAATAGTGGGCTAGGGTAGGCATGGCCACCTTGACGTCACTCGTGTCAGGGATGTCTGTAGTGGCCCAAGTTCTCTGCCAGTGAAAATGGGCTCCCGAGCTCCTGTTTTCAGCCATGATGGCCTCCTGCCACCCTCTGCCAGTGAAAACAGAGCTGTGCTCTGGGGGCTGTGCACAGCCCTTCCGAGCTCCGTTTTCAATGACAGAGGGAGACAGGAGACTGTCACAGCTGAAAACGGATCCTGGGAGGGCTGCGCACAACCCTCCCAAGCTCCATTTTCGCTGGCAGAGGCACTGCGGGCTGGTCCTTTGCTGTTTCTAGGGCAGCCCCGTGAGCCAGATCTAAGCACCCTGCAGGCCAGATCCGGCCCATGGACCTTGAGTTTGACACCCCCGGATATTTAACAACCAAAGTACAAATGAAATCATTTCTCTGGGCTGAACCATAGCCCCAGGGTTTAAATTATGATACAATTTAAAAATATTTCAGAAATGAATGGTAAATTTGGCAAATCTAACCTTTGATGGTTATCATAGAGAAATTAAGAAGCAGAAAGAAGTTCCAATGTCAGTAGTTATCATGCCTCAGAAGTTTTACTTATGACCATCCCATCAATAAATGACTCTCTAATCCAGTTTCTCACTTTTATTTCTATACAAGTTAAGTTCCACCAAATGTTTTGGGGGAGGGAGATACTTTTTCTTTGCTTATATTTTAATTGCAGCGTATCACTTCCTTGCACCCTCTTTCTTTCCCTACTACTGGACTAATGATTCTAAATAAAATTTCTTGGTTATTCTTCATTTCTTTTATTAACTGAGGCTAGTAACTTATTATAATTCTAAACCTTTTTGATTTAATTCTCCTTAAGGAATGTGGGTCACTTTGTTAAGAATGAATTGCATTTATAGAGGGTGATCAAATGTTATATGGTACCTTTTTTGTTAAAATGGTCTAAGCAATAATTGTTATTATTCATATAATAATACAAAAGCAGAGGAACTACAATATAAAGGACAGATCTCATTACATTTCTAAAAGTGGCCACTAAGCATATATAAATATGCCTGATGAATGAGGTAGTAAAATATCATTAAACTTTCTTGCTGGAGGGCAATTTCGGGGACTAGTCCAGAGAAGGAAGACCCTGCCTTGTGACACAACCAAAAGCTCTTCATCTAATAGTGGAACAACAAGGTAGATCTCTCCCCAACCAAATCCAAAAACATGATATGAATAAAGACCTTTGATAAGGAACAGGTATTCCCATATCTGAGGATGGAATGGGACAACTCAGCGTAGCCAGTTCACTGCCACCAGCTCACCAGCACCAAGGCACCTCTGTCAACTGACCACTGTCAAGTGGTTGTAGGACAACTCAATACAGCCAATTCGCCATGGGGACCACACTGTGGGTGGCTGAAGGGAGAGCTGGGTGAGCGCGCAAGCGAATACGTGGGCAGAATGCAGAGCAGCAACAGCGACTGGGAGCTTCCCATTTTCACATCCCCCGCTGCTGCCACCGCCACACCAAGCTGTGGACCATTCAGAATTCAGGCAGTTTGGTGTGGCAGTGTTTGCGCCATTTAGTGGCAGTGTCAGTGGGCAGGTTGGGACAGTGGGGAGGTGGTGGCAGCTGGGCGCCTCCCATTTTCACACCCGGTGGCAGAGGCAGGGGATATGAAAATGAGATCCGTCATCCGCCTCCTTGCCATCCATCCCGCCCACTGCGGAATCGCCTGAACTCCGAACAGCATAGACCTCTGCAGGCCAGCAGCAGTAGCAGCAGTGGGGGTTGTGAACATGGAAAGCCTTGGCCTCTGCGGTTACCATCACCGCTCTGCATTCTGCCCTCCCCGGCTTACCTGCTGGCCTGGTTCTCTCTCTGGCCACCCACAACAAATTGTTCCCAAGGTGAATTGGCCGTGTTGAGTTGTCCTGCGGCAACTTGGCGGCAGAGAATTAGCAGAGGCAATTTGGTAGTGGCAAGCTGACAGCAGTGAACTGGTCACGATGAGTTGTCCTAGACTCATCTAAAGAATATTAACAAGGGACATTACTCCAGGGCATTTTTACTTCATACAATTCAAAGGTGTCAAACTGCAAATATTAATAATGAATTAGCTGTCATGAAAGATCTCCTTAGCAAAGAAATAAATGCAATCTCCAGTGTCTTTCACCACGCTGAACTTTAAAAGCAAGCATCCAAGGATTCTGCCTGTCATTCTGCAGAGTTTGGCAGATAATAGATCTAAAACTCTCTATTCTGTTGTGCAACCAGCAGACTAGATCCTTTACCTACGGAGACATAGCTGGCTATCACTTTCCTGAGTAGCAGAAAAGATATAGATGAACAAATGCCTTTTGGGAGTAAGACTAAATTAAATCTTATATGAATGACTAATGATTTGATGGTGTCCCATTTTTCTTCGACAAAAACAGTGAACCTTGAGAATTACGGAAAAGCAGATGAAAGCAAAGGTTTAACCTTTTTCCCCAATGAAATTCAATCACTTAGCTTGTACATAACAATGTTTCTCTCTGTTTCTTTGGGATCACACAAAACTATTTTGTTTCTTTCAGCCAAATTACAAACCACCAACAAAAGAACAAAGTTTTTCTCTAACAAATTATGCGCTGGTGATCACAAGAGTAAAAATGCACAGTCAGCACCAAAACCTATTTCAAGGAAGAAAATAAATCTTGCTTGGATTTACAAAGAATAAAATACATGTATAATGTTTGTGGTTCCCAGAGTGCACCTTTCTGAAATTCCCAGTTTTCATTTTCTCACCCCATCATTAAGGCCAACAATATTCAAATTCTTCAGCAAGGGGTGAATAGAAGATTGTTCAAAGTAGTAATTTTATTTCTTAATATTTCAGCTCCAATCTTGCTTCAGTAGTCAGTACAACAAAAGTGAGGGTTTTCATACACTGAGAATAGCATTGCTTCTTGCTAAGTATAGGCAATCAAGCAGTGGTGAGTGAGGAAGCAACTTTTCTGCTTCTTTATAAACAAAAAAAAAGCCATCACAACTGTTTGCAGAAAATCTAAAAGACTTTTCCACAATAAAAAAATAAAGAAGTTGCACAGCATTAATATGCACTTACCTTGCTTAACTGTGAAACAGCAGTCATGTACAATTGCTTGAAAGGAAGACAAATCCAGTCCTGGCAGCTTTATAATATAACACTTTATAATATATCACTTTTGGCAGCAAAGGTCAACAATCCTCACTATCTCTTTGCTAATATGCTTAACCTACCTAAGAAGCCTACATTAAGAAAGGTCCTGGTGGAGCTGCATCTTTTTTACAGTGTCATTGTGGACTTTAATCCAGAAGTCAACATCACTATCGGACCAAGGACATGTTGTATCTTTCCACACTGTCCTCTTAACTGCCCTTCAAGCTCTACTGATTCTTTTGTGGACCTGGTTTCACACAGCCACTTCAGTTTTTCCGATCTTCGTACAACTTGGATATCCAGAATTTCTCTTTTTCTTAGTTTTCTGTTCCCCTGTCGTAGCTGTAACAACTTTGGCTGGCTAACACAAGGACTTTTTCAATTACTTCAAGATTCAGATTTCTTTTGCAGCCTATCAGTCTTCTACTGCTACAAGCAGCCATTCATATTCTGGCAGCATTGACTGTGCCTCCCTTCTATATTCAAAACTCCCCTTTGGCCAACAAAGTGGAAGCTTGCTAAGTAACACCCTGTTACTATGGCAGCAACCCTTTGTGTTTAGAAGCACCCACAGAGTTGTTTTGAGAAAGACTGTGTAGGATACATCCTGTAATCACACTTGCAAGATATCTCATACAACAATAGTAAGATGCTTGCTTGAGAAGCTTTTCAGAAATGTGATGTGATCAAACCCTCTGCATCTGTAAATTGAATTTTTTATAGTTTACACCTGCTGTTTGAGTAGGGGAAAATACAAATCTAATGTAGCTGTTGTTGGATCCAATCTCTATTTACTCCATTTATTTGTCACTCGGCAATTTGGAAAGTGACTTCATTTTATATGAAGCCTATACAACTTGCAATTTACCAAATGCAAATGTAGTCCTCTAGTCTTATTGTGTGGCTTGATTGTCAATCTTTCTGTTTTTCAATTGCTAATACTAGTAAGCTGCAGTTAGTCCACCCAACTTTCCAGATATGTTCAAATATAGTCTCTGCTTCTTAACATGTGAGGTATGGTCCAATATGTTTAGAAGATTCCTAGCTAAAAAGACTGCTCTAGATTTATCAATAAACTTGGTAATCAATCACATATATTGTCAATTCATAACTTGGATTTTTTTTTCAAAAGAACTGCACTACAGCATTACAGGTTGAAATATTTAATACTACCTTCTGAAAGTACTTAATGTTTTAAAATGTTACTACTAAAATATTATCTCTAATAAGAAATATTAAACATAAGATAGATTAAACATAATTTAAGATATAGTGTATTCAAAAAGAGCAATTTCTTACAATTATTCGTGTTTCACATATTTAGGACTGCAAACAAACAAAATAACTAGCAAGTAGATAAAAATCATCATTTATGTCTGTAAATAGCACTCAATAAATGCCAAATTAATAGTAAACATACTTTTAATAGTAACTAAATGATAATAAAACAATGCAGTTATGTGTCAAGTAATTACTGAACAACATATATAAAAATAGTTACTCTATTGTCAAATTAATAAAACACATAAATCAGGACGTCTCTTAAATAAACACATTCTGAAGTCTATTTTTATTTACAAAATAAGCAAGTACAATTACGGAAATCAGTTCAAAGCTACAATCAATAATTTTGTTTTAAAATTAAGCAAGAAAAATATAGCACGCTTCATAGTAAGTTTACGACTCACCCAAACAAATAACGAAACTTTGTTATCTGAATAACAAGAGCAACACTTTGCAATAATCCTTTGCTTGGGTAAAGCAACTATTATTTTATGCCCAAACAATCTAGAATTTACCATATATATATATATTTAAGCACTTGATTTTATGCCAGAGCAAGTTCTTTACTGTGAGGATCTAAAATGTTGTGACTGCATAGTTAATCCTAGAATTTCTATCTACTATGTTGGTTTGGTAAAAATCATCATAATGGTTTGGAAAAAAAAAAAAAAGGCAAAAGTAGACTGTTTGATTAGACCAAAATCCACAGTGCAAAAGAATTATGTTCATTTATCATACATAGGCATTGGAAGTTTATTATATCTGCCATCCAGTACTGCTGATGGAAAGGCACTAAAATGGGCTCTTGAAAATGTCTATTGATACTTAAGAGTGAGTATTAAGTATTGTGTGCCGAATTCAGAACAACTTAGTTACGATTTCAAAAAAGATTGATATGAACTTTTTAAAATCTCGTATGTTATAGCAAATGGCAGCACTTGCATGACCTTACATAATAGTACTTGGGTGGGAAAGCACCAGGGATATTAGAAAGTCTAGAAAATTAGGGGGAGGGGGAAATGTACCCGGAGGTAAAGACAATCCACTTCTGTACACTGCTAGGAAAACTACACATTCATGTCACCATCAGTGTCAATTTTTATTCAAAGGAGTATTTATAATTCAGTTCCTTGATAGAGGTCACAAAGCATCAATATTTTTCATGGATTGATATCACTAGACAAATTCATAGAGCTAATAAAACAAACTTATACCGTAGTAGGCAATCTTGACAGTAAAAACAGACCTACAAAAAGAGTGCCTGAAACAGGTTTCTCTATTCATGGACAATATTTTAAGTAACTTGCTAGATAAAGCAGCTGGTTTAGGGAACAGATGCAGCAGTTAAACTGTCCAGAAAAATACTAATTAGTGCTGCTATTAAAGAACTGGTGTCATGTCCTGCAGCATCCACCAGGCACCAGCGGAAGATAACAGTGTTTTTAAAGGCAGCCCAAATACAGGTAGTCCTTGACTTACAACAATTCATTTAGTCACCATTCAAAGTTACAATGGCACTGAAAAAAGTAACCATTTTTCACAATTGCAGCCATTGGAGCATCCCCATGGTCACATGATAAAAATTTGGATGCTTGGCAACAGGTTGATATTTATGATGGTTGCAGTGTCCCAGGATCTCCTTTTGTGACCTTCTGATAAGCAAAGTCAAGGGGGAAGACAGATTCACTTAACAACCATGTTACTAACTTAATAACTGCAGTGATTCACTTAACAACTTTGGCAAGAAAGGTTGTAAAATGGGGCAACATTCCCTTAACAACTGTATCACTTAGCAACATAAATATTGGGCTCAACTGTGATAGTAATTGGATAACTACTTGTAAATTACTATAGCCTAAATTAAAGATGATTATTACATGTGCAAGAATTGATGTACATGGTAGATATGTTACAAATGAGACACAGTCTACCAAATGGGTTGAGTTCAAAGTCTTTCAGAAGGAATATACTCATAATCAAGCTATGGAATCAGTCCATTCAATCCCAGCCCTCAATACCTCCATTTGTCTGAATTAAAGATCCTTTTTGTTCATCCTCATACATCACTTTAAAAAAGATTGTTTACACTTGCCTGGAGCATCCTGTTTTATTCTAGAGTATAACCAATTAATAAAGTGGGTGGAAGGCAACATTCAACAGAAAAAAAACCTAAGATACCTGAAGCAATAACTCAATATCAAGATTCAAGAGATAACACAATGATAGAGGCATGGTCAAGTAAATAAAAAACGGAACGATATTTTCTTGAACAAGCCATATGACTTCAATTTCTGAATCCTACATGGCTTTAGATGCCCTCATTCAATAAAACTACAAAATACATTAACAAGAGAGCTCCATATCCTGAGGGTCTTTCTAGAATATCTTCTGCAAACCACTTTGTTAGTGCCTGAGGAACAGGATATGGGATTGTTTGTTGATGTTATGTTTTTCTAATGTCTCTCAAGGTCTCCTAGTTTAGAGGCTTTGACTGTTACTTTTAGAAGAGAAGTCAGCCTGGAAGGATTTTGCACTGAGATTTACAAAAAGGGGGGAAAAAACTGATTCATTGCTCACCTAAAAAAGTAGGAAACCTACTTTTAATTGCAAGATTAGTTCATTGCCACCGTATTTCTAAATGCTTTCATGGAAGAGGAAAAAAACCCATTGACATGTAATGCTCCTAAACACTAGCTTCCATTTGTCCTAGATAAAAATGCAACTGGATTAAATAATTCAGATTTTTTTTTCCAAAAGAGGCTTAAACTACTTCAGTTTGTATGGCTTCCTTCCTCCTGTGTCATTATATACAACAAAAAGGAAATGAAAATACCTGAACAAATGATGCCTATGTGAATAACTGAGCAAACTAATATATTTTTCACTGGAGACATTTTAATCCATATTCTAACAAAGAATCCAGAATAATACCAAACTAAATTGGGTTTATCATTAGGTAATCCTAGAAGATCTTTTCAAGCTCTGGCTCGGCTAATAATTTGTAGGATAAATTTAAATCAGAGCACATATGAACTTGCATACATATACACATAAATCATTCTACTGACCCAGATATTATTTGACTAGATAGTTGCAAAAGTAACTTTGGTTTATATTGCTGAATGGATGGAAAGTGACTATGACTTTTTTGCCTAGGTTAAGCAAAGGTCTAATACTTACCAAGACCAAAGAAACAAATTATTTTTCAGCATTAAAGAGCAGAAGACCACAGCAAAGTATAGGCAAATAAAGGGCAGGAGGCTATCCTTCACAAATCAGGTTAGCAGGGTAACTTTCAGCCTTCTTCCATTTTAAAGTCTCATCACATGGAGCATATTTATTGAACCTTCTAATATTCCCAGTAAAGCTAAAACAAGTCTTCAATATTAATGTTCAAAAATAAATAGTGTACTCATCTCAAACCTTACAGGCAAGCCTATATGTGACACATTCAAGAACATTTTTTTACAACCTTCACACTATGCTTAGGGGGAATTCTCTTCCACTATGCCAAGGAAACATTTGTAACAGTTGGAAATAAATCTATGTATAATAAAGTGTGCTAATTACCCCCAAGTGATTGAGTGGTTTCAGAGATGGGAGTTTCAGAGATGGGAGTAATATTAAAATATTAAATAGGCATGTACCTTAATATTTAGATATCACTGTGTGATCTAAGAGTTACTTGGGCAATTTGGATGTGTGTTGTACCTTTGCTTTCTACAAGTATAAATTCTTACTTTCAACAGATCAAGAAAAAAACAGAGTGCATAGAGCTGTTCTTGAGACATTCTACCTATTGTTAGTAAGTGTACCATGGGACTGTTCGATGCTCCAGATTCTATGGCAAAAGGAATTTTGGGACAACAAGGATGCAAACGTAGCACCTTTTTGCAAGACTTAAATGCAGCTGCATTGTTTTCTGACAGCACACAACAGCAGCAGAGAGAGTACCCTATAATCCAAAGAAGGATGCAGTCCAGGTGCTGTTCTTATTCCTTCACAACCCATAGAATCTTTTTTATAATTTCTATGCAGCTCTGATAAAT